TAAGCAAAAAAATACCATTTGTTCGACACAATTCTCTGCATGAAGGCCAAGGATTTATCTGTCTTACGAATGCATACACCTCAGGTCACAATATGAATGTAAACATAGCTACGTGACACTATTGGCGGTATATCTATAACGTAACTCATAGCTCCTGGCACAATTGTTGAACGATCTAGTTACCGAGTTCACCTACTAAAAACAACTTATGAATCTTGTCTGACAAAGGAAAAAGACTGATTCTTCTTTATAAATCGATGTTTTGATAGGGGAAGGATTGTTTGTTTGGATGCTTGCGCTACTAGCCGAATTACTGAAGCAAAACAGGGCAAGGAATGCAACGGGATATGTTTTCAAAAACATTGTCGAATTAAAATAAGACGCTTGCCTTAGAAACTCAACTCATCAGTGCACTGTGCTTAATAACTGAGTAAAATTATGAACAAAAACAGATATTAAAAGGTTCATTTCGTGCTCAGTGAATTTCAGAATAATTAACAAATTATGCAATTTATTTACTAAGACGGTGTTATTTCAGGACTAAGACGAAGGAGCAGCTCGGGAGAGAAAGGGAACTGCCCGGGTGAGGCAGAGAGGACCCCCTAAACAAGTTCCTGACCTCTAGTGGGTTCAGAGACTGACTGTCACTTGTGGCAGGACATGGGTACCGGGCCGTTGAGGCGAACTCAGTACGTTGTGTCATGTTTCAGACAACCCAGAGAGCATGTTAAGGGACACGTTGAAGTGTGCTTTGGACCTGATCTCCAATATAAATATAGGTTGAATACAGCTTGTTGCAGACATTTATTTATTTATTAGACGGGGTAGATGGCTAAATCCCGGCATCGTGAACAAAGAATCAATTCAAAATATGACGTGCATTTTTGGCTCATCCGTTAAAGCTACTGACATATTATACGTTAATTTCGAAATGATGTTGAGTGTACAGTATTTAAACAGAAAAACAAAAACATTTAAGCCATTGTGTATTAATCTCTTTTCTCATTAATAAGTTTTCGATTTTTAAGTTTAGATTTAATACAAATTCGTTTTAATATTATTTTGATGACTGTTATCCATTTTATGACGTTTGATCGGACTGTAAACTATCCACATAGTTCAATATAAAAAACTAATAAGTGCAGGCCAAAAGATTCAAGAAAAAATAGTATTAACAATATTAATGTAAAATTATCATCCAAAATTATGTTTTGATTGTACAAGTGTATATATATGTAAATATGTTAAAATAAAGCTAAATTGATTAAAAAACAATGCGTTGTTTGTCAATATTTAAATATAAACAAACTTTTACAAGAATCAACATGAGCAAAAGAACGTACTGTAGTGCATTTAACTTTGTTATTACAAAGCGGTTATAACAACAGACATATGGCAATTTTCATGTATCTATTTACGTTCGAGGCTGGAAGCTTTTTTTCTCTGTAATAATACGAGTGAGATTTTGTTGGACAGCAAGATGCAACTTCTTAAAAACGTCTATAAAAACTTCCCAACATAAAAAAATCACCTGTTTTTTATTTGTAAATCCAAGATGCGTTTAACTTGTTGTTTTCACCTTTGCTAGCACGTGTGCCACCATGACACCTTGTGGCATGTTATTTGCTGTCAGAGGATGATGGATAGGGAAATCACAAAGTGCCCCAGAGAAAACAGTATCGTAAACACTATTCATTTGATGTACGCAGTCTTTTTCTGCTAGGTGCATTGTTAGTCGTATCGCTTTCAGGTATATATTTCATTGGTAATGTCAATGTTACATTTCACCTTAAAAAACAAATTAAAGAAGGCTAAAGTGTATTTAAATAGACCTGGTCCCGGGTGACATAAGGACAGATAAATGTGTATCTATTTGCCATAGAATTAGCATTGTGGCCTTTTTGGTTGTTAGATATTTCGGTAAAGAATATTGATTTGTTGCTAGCAACGGCGTCAGCTAGCGAGCTACTCTAAGGGTACATTCCCAGAGATTTAGATTTAGATCGACCTAACTCCCTGGGGTTTCACGCTAAATTGCAGTCAGCCAAGCGCGCACCATAGTTAATTACCCTCTTCAGCTTTTAGTAGGCGGGACAGACGCTTTAGCCGGCTTAGCTGACAGGAACCTAGTGACACTCCCACAGTGATTGATCGATCCACAATCTATGGGGATGGGGTCTAAGTAGATCATCTAAGGAGATGGTGACTGAGACACTGAAGCTTGTTAAGGCCGGTGATAGTAAAAGGACCAAAGTCATAGAAACAAAGCCCTGGGCTTATAAGTTTTTATAAAAAATTAAAACAAACTTCCCAAAAGGCCAATTAAAGACGGGGATTAAGCACAGTGTCCAACGGATGACGCTCTGGCGCCAATTTGAGGGGAAAAATGCCGTTTTCGGTATTGGGGTTTTCTCTATAACCAAGACAGCTATTCAAGTGATTCAAAAGGCCTCATAAAGCTGGGTG